TTGTAAATCATGCCCTGAGGGCCAGCATAGTGGCAGGAGTGTGTGGTCAAAATTTCACTCAAATCCATTGAGAAACACCAATGTTACGGTCAATTGAATGCCATATTAAATTTATGGGTAGGCCGCCACTTAAAAGGTAGTGCCACCCAGCTAAACAAGAACTGGTTTATTTGTACGTCAGGAGCATTCTTGGGCAAGATCTTCATGACCACGGTTTTGTCAACATTAATGCTCATGCCCCGTGATCTTAGTTCGATCACTGTGTAGCTTAGCAAGAGCCGAGGACACGACATCGGCGCATACTATTGGATCTCGTGAGGAAGCGTACAAAGTCTTGTCATCGGCAAACATGAGCAGCTTTGCACCACTCCCTGCAGCCAGGTCAGGTAAGAGTCGCACATATAATGTTAAAAAGGGTGGGACCCAAGATTGTTCGCTGCGGAACCCCTCGAGTTCCGGGCAGAAGAGCTGATGTTCCAGAGGCTATAAATGCATGCTGATACCGGCCGTTCAGGTAGCAAGCGAACCATTTCAGGGCAGAATCCCTAAGTTGTGCAAAGTAAAGATAAGTTCAATGCCATTTTATTTTGAACAACCCAGCCCTGTGTTTATTGCTCATTGTGTAGCATATACTGTAACACGTGTAGTTGTCCTCACTGTTTATTGCATGATTTGCATCAGGAGATCCCCTCGACAGTCAATCGCCTCTGGGAGATCCTTTAAAAAAAATAATATTACAAGAAATACAAGAAATGCTACAATGGTGGTATAACCCACGTCTCTAGCCGACGTCAGTTACAGCCAAGGTCATAACCTGCACTGTTGTTCGCTGGGGCCGGAAGCCAGATTGATGATCGCGTAGATAAGTATACAGGTCGAGGTCCCGCAGCAGTTGATCAAGGGCAAGACGTTCGAGCATTTTGCTGAGAATGCTCGTAAGCGACACTGGGCGATAGTTGGTTGGAGAGGTGTGATCACCCTGCCGGGATTTAAGAATGGGGGTGATATTAGTGATTTTAAAAAGATGAGGGAAAGTCGAAGATTGTTTGTTTGTATACTTTATTTGAATTCGCTAGTCCAAAAGACCACAAATGCTCAATGACAAGGCAGCGAATATGTTATTGTGTTACAGGGAAGGAGGATTGAGGAGAAAATAATGAGAAAGAAGAGAGAAGAGTAGACATCTCAATGAAGAGCGAAGCGTTATCAAAACTACAAGTAAGCCAGCGAATGACAGTTCTGTAAACCGCCTAATAAGACACTCTTCAAACTAAGTACTAACTGCTAACGAGAGTACTTGCTACTAACAATGGGAGGGTTCAGCCCTGCCATGCCAGTTACGGACTTACGGGGGTCGCCCTGGCAATAATAATGGCAAACAAAGAAAATCAATCACAGACAGGAAGCTGTCTCAGGGCAAGTTTATGTTATAACATCAGGAGGATCGGAGGGTATACGGTACGACGGCAGGTTTGAAGCTGCTGAGAGACGGCAGTACTCTGACTGCATCCGGTAGGACGTTCCAAAGGGCACTACCTTGGGAGGCAGGGCGAGATTAGAGAGGTTCCGGGGTACGATTTTCCGTGCCAAAATCCGTATGGGCGCTACGGATTTTTTCCAGGCGTGCTCCATACGCTTTTTCGGCACGGAGAATCCGTGTGGACTGGCTTTCATACGAACCATGTTTCGTATGGAGATTTTGCGTCATCGGGTGCAGAAAGATTTTTCGCGTACAAATTTGGTACGAGAAACATCGATTTTCCGCGGGAAGTTTTGATTTCGGTACAAATTTTCAAAATAAAAAGGCATAGCGCTAGCGCGGGAATGTGACGTGTTTGCGATCGTAACCTAGGCAATGATGGCAAACACATAAGTTCCGTACCCCGGAACTTTTCACTGCTCGAAAACGACGTATAAAATATCCGTAGCGCCTCCACGGATTTTGGCACGAAAAATCGTACTCCGGAACCTCCCTATTGTCGGTTCGTGTAGCTGGCAGACGGAGCCCCAGGGCGAGATCCAGGCGCGTCCTACGACCCGCGCGGCGTACGAAGAGCTCCTGGAGGGATGGACTCGCACTGGCGTGTATGCACCGCCAGACAAAGATCAGGACCTTCTGCCAAAGTACTTCTCCAGTCCTGAACACCTCCATGCGTTCCAGGAGATCACTGGAACGAGAGCACCCTGACCGGCCATAAACTGCTCTTGCCTCACGGTTTTGTGTTACTTGGAGCCGATCGGTCTGGGCCTGAGTGAGTCCTGGGCTAAACGCAACGGACCCATACAGTAGATCTGGCATGATAGCTGCCTTGAAGAGAGGTATTGAAAATGGCTTATATAGAAGGTGCAATAACATTGGATGTGGCCTTCAAGATACTGGGAAGAAGACAATTGGGTCCTGGTCCTTTGCTGCTGTGGAGGGAGGCAAGTCTTGCCCTGACGTCTGTTACAGTGACTTGCTTAGCTATCACTGTTAGATCTTCTATAGCTTCACGGGAAGATTTGACGTCGTTGCATATCCGACTACGCTCAGGGCAGTCAGGGGTTAACGCGCATAAAATCGCATCAGAAAAATGTATTTCCCCTCGCCATGCCTGCAGTGTTTAAACGTTTCTTTTTATACCGGTTATTGTCATGGTTGTATGAGTACATTTGGTTTGCATGACATGTTTTTTTTCTTTTCTTTTCTTATTAAATTTTTGTTAGGGGTTTCTCAACAGGCAATATTTCCTTTTTCCTGGGAACCCTAAATGAGACTTTGTGTGAGCGCGAAACAAAGCAGGCGGACGACCCGGCCAGGCGACAAGATGGAGGCAGCGCATTCCACTTGTCGGCACCAAGATACGCCATGGAATTGAAACCATACTGGGAGTGGCAGGCAGGCAAGATAAGAGCAGCTGTAGCTTGGCCCCGGGTTGTGGCAGCAGTATGTGGGCCAGTGCAGCGGGGAGTAAATAGGAGGCTGAGAAGTGGGCTAGATAAACCATGCAGACAGCTTCTGAAGTACACATTTCTCGTACGTAGAGGTTAAAATATGCACCTCTGATCCAGTGTGCTTGGAGAGAAGGTGATGTCGCTGAGCACTATTGCTTTGTCACAGTCCCAAGCTGCATTTGATCCTTCCTGTCGCGAGTCATGGCCGACCTGCACTTGTACATGCAGCCACTGGAGGATTCCATCAGAAGCAATGTCATCAACGCTCTCTAATAGGTGGCAGGACCGTGAACGATGATGACCGACATCTACTGGCGGTACCCTGTCGACATGGGGATTTGGACTCATCACACCTGCGTCCCTCGGGGCTCAGTACGCCCACTCCAAGACCATTGTTGGCCCGGTGATGCGCAATTAGCAGCCGACCGCCACACTAGGCGGTGCCCTGCATGAAGTCCGGACAAACCAGCAGCAGATGAGGGCGAAGGCAAAGGCATCGCTCCATGCAGAGGCCGCAGCTGGCTCACCTGGTGGCTCCTAAATTGGCCTAAAGGCTCACGGTTTCAACCTCGCCAAGGCTGAGTTCCTTGATGCTGTAGACCTTCGCTATGGCTAGAATCACGAACACCTACCAACGTCACGTTCTTGTGGACAGCAGTTCACTGTCAGCCATGCCTAGGCATTCCCGTCACTGGTTAGGCAGTTGGAGAGAACTGAGAACCACACATACTGCACAAGTTGTGTGCTACATGTATGTCCCCTCCTCACATACCACACAAGTTGTGTCCCACCACACGAGTGGTGTCGTATCGGTTGCTATGCGGCCTTGAATTGTGGTTTGACCCCGAGGCTTGCCCCATATGCCTGCCCGTGAGTTGTGTATCTTGTAAAAAATAAAAAAATATATAAAAATAGCAAGGGCTTTGAAACTCTCTCGTTACATTTTTTTGTAACATGGAAAAATGTGGGCACAAGTTATGTGATCGAGTCCACCAACTAAACCAGATTTTGCCGGAATAAACCAGATTTTGCCTTCCCCTCTTTGGAAGTAGCACTAATATCCATGAACATTCCAATCTGGACGGCCGTTCGTTAGCGCTATCGAGCAGTGCTCAAGCTGACGTTCATGCCGGGGAATGTCTCAGTACTCCTTGGGAGTTTTGTGCTAGATAGTGCACATCTGACTGTTCAAAATCTGGTTTAGTTGGTGGACTGGATCGCATAACTTGTGCCCACATGTTTCCACGTTACAATTTTTTCCTTGGCTCACCATCTGAGTTTGGGTTTTTTCTCTTTAAATTTGTTTTCCACGCATAACATGGGATTCGAACCCGCTTTCAAGCTGTCTAGTACAAAAACTCTAACTCATAGTATACATGTACGTGATATACATACATAACTCATAACTCAAATCTGTGCACAGCAACTGTTTCGCCCTGTTAGAGCTTCTCAGCACAGCACAGAGGACCGAAGCGCAGCTCTTCGCAATGAAATACGTTTCCGTGAAGCAAAGCATTTTTATAAAGAGCTGCACACCCCGCCAAGAGTGCTCGAAATGCTCCAAGAGCAGTGAGCGTTGCACAAGGCGAGCGGCAAGGGTTCGCGCTAAGGTAAGAGTGCTCAACCTAACGACATTGCTGACTGCTAGGGAGCATAATACTCAAATCTGTGGACAGCAACTGTTTCGCTCTGTTAGAGCTCCTCAGCACAGCTCAGAGGACCGAAGCGCAGCTCTTCGCAATGAAGTACGTTTCCGTGAAGCGAAGCATTTTTATAAAGAGCTGCAAACCTCGCCAAGTGTGCTCGAAACTCATAACTCTAAATCCCGGACACACATATTCCACCAAGAAGTTATTTTTTAAACACGTTGATGTTAGCTTCTGCTTGTGTTGTTTAAAAAAATTCCACACCTACACTGTGTTTACACATCGGATTCGAACCCGCACTCTAGCCCTGCATGCATTCCCTCGATACACGTCGCATACATCGCCTTCTACAAAGTTGCTGCACGTTATGTTCCTGCATGCAGTTGTAAGCCCTATCTAGCGCCGGATGCTACTAACAGGTTACGTAACGCTCTTTGCATAGCTTCAGGAATAAAGTTCTTTGAGTACAATTAAACTGTGGGGTACTAGTATTTAAAAGTCTATCAACAGCACAAAACACGCAACAATAATGGGAGTTGAATATGTACTATTTACCCTACTAGTACACCACATACAATGTGCCGGTATGATGAAGGAGCAGTCTATAATTAAAATACTTCAATGCTGCAAATACTAGCGTGTGAAATGAAAAGGTGCGATTTCAAAATGCACAAGACAACCATAATGTACTTGGTGATGATAAAAATTAATGTGAGTGCTGTCCATGCCTGGAGCAAACAAAATACATTTGATTTGCCAGTGCAAAGGAAGCAGGAACTGTAATTTGTTGGAGAAGAGAATGATGGTGCTGAAGCCTTGATGGTGCACTCAAACCCCGGAAGCAACAGCCAAGGCACAAATCGCTGCTGATATAGCGCATAGCGGAATACTGGATGCATCTTGTCGCCCGGCGCTGGACGTGGTTACGCCCGGTCTAGATGTGGCTAGAAAAATAGAGGATAGAGAGCGTGCGTACGCATGGTGTTTGGCCTGTTCGTATCCTATGAACAATAATGATATCACTCACATTTCCCCCGTTTCAATCCCTGAAATGGTTCAATAATAAAAGCGTTTGGTGGAGTAAATTACCATTCACCTGGTCGACCGTTCAATTTTTAACGAAGGACCACATTCGTATTAAATTTTGCACCAGATATACCGGTACTCAATCTGCGGACAGAACTGTTTCGTCCTTTCTGGACTTATCAGCGCAGCACAGAGAAAATGAGGCCCAACCTGATAGCAATGAAAAATGAATTTTCCAAATTTTCTATCTCTCTATCTCTCTCTCTATCTCTCTCTCTCTCTCTCTCTTTCCGGGTCTCTCTCCCTCCCTCATGTTTCCAACTTCATTCTTAATCAACTCTTGATCGTTCTTCATCAGGCCGGGGACATGATATGACTGATCGTGCGTTGTACTTACGCAGGGTGTAGACCCCGGACCCCTGGCATTGAGAAGACGTGCAATTGAGACTGCATACCGTGTAGTAGAATGGATGGCAGTTCTTCTTCGGATCGCCACACTTATCGCTGTAGGCCTTGATTTCCGCCAGGAACGTTGGCGACTGTGTATCGAGACACTGTGGCTTACCACAGCACTGGGTTGGGTAAGAGAGACACCCTGTGAAGGCAAGATCAAACTGGATTACATTGTACGCCAAGTGCAAAGGCTGTGTGTGCAGGTGTGTCTGTGCCCGGCGCGCCATGCTTGTGCGTGTGCCTGCGTGCGGTGTGTATATTGTGTGCCTGTCTGTCTGTATTTGTGTGTGTGGGGGGGGGGGGCGTGCGTGCGTGCGTCTCTCTCTCTCTTTCACTCTCCGCATATAAGGCTTTAATACTCGAAATGAATTACAATCATTCCAGAAAGTGAAGACTCTTTCTCTCCAGTTACCAGCTGCGTGTCGTAAAGTGACCACTCGTGTAGCCTCACTCCAACTTAGCTCGCCTCCATTGAAATCCGTACACTCTTTGTCTTTTCACTGCAGATATTATGTATACGGCTTATACAGTCACGTAGTCAATGTACTGCAACTGTACAAATGATTACAGTCATAGTCATTGTACTTCAGATGTACAATCTATGAAAAAGTCATGTAAATGTACTTCATTAAAAATTGTATACGTTTTAGATGCACACGTCTGTCGACTAGCGCCAATTCTGTACATGTACATGTATATGCACTTCGCATACACACCATTCTGTAAACCAATGCAGTGTGAAGGATGGCCACGACCACGCATTGCTTAGTAGCCCCGACCACGTGTTACTTAGTGGCCAGTTCATTATGTACCATTGCGCTGTGGTGGGCTTATAGTTATACCTAAGAGAAAACGCACCACCACAACAGCACGATATACATGTATGTACTGTACTAGTGGCCAGCATACGCCTCAGTGCCCAAATACTACTGGCTGCTGTGCGGGAGTGGTCGCTACAGCCTCAACATTATCCTCTTACTTGGCAAGCCTGAAGTGAACGAACAGAACAGAACAAAATTAATGTTCAGGTGATTTTAAATTACTTCTCGATGAAACCCGTTTCTTCTAGCAATAGCGATTACAACAGCCCTAGAGTCTCTGAGTAATCCTAACAGTAACAGCAATACAATAGCGAGGGCTGTACTACTAGCCTGTGGTGATTCACAGGCTGAAGAAAAGTTTGAACGGTCGCTGCTTGGATGACGACTACCCCATAGCTTAGTGGCAAAGCAGATGTGCTTACATAATAATTGTTATGACACAAAATCTCAATAAAAAAATGAACAAAACGCCAAGAATCTGAAGAAAAACCCCATAGCTTAGTGGTAGAGCATCGCTGGCCATAAGCAAAGGTCGCTGGTTCCAGTCCTGGTGGTGGCAGGCAACTGTTTCTTCAGACTTTTTCCGTTTCAACTCCCTTTTAAACACCTTTGGATAGCACAATACAATGTACAAATCGAATACATAGAACGGTCACCTAACCTGGCACTGCTAGCGATTGTCCTGATACGCCAATGTCACGACTGCACACGATGGCCAGCAACAGCAACAGCACCTGAGCTGACCCGACAGTGGAAGCAAGACTTCGGATGCGGCTTCCTCGGCAGTATTTAAGCAGCTCCATCCTTTGCCGTCCTCTTTCTTATGGGTAGAATTCCAAGCAGTGGTATTTTGACTACTCCCTTAATTCCAATAGCCTGTTCAATTTTCTGAGCAGGGACTTAAGCTAGCGGTAGCAGCTATTTATTGGCGATCTCCGTCAAGTCTTGCTCGTTATCGTGGCTATCAGCCGCGTCCCACTAATCCCTCTCGGGATCATCGTGCCTATCACCCACGTCCCGCTATTCCCTGAGGCTAGTCTGCTCCCAAGCTGCACTCTTGGAGGAATCGCCATTGCAACCGTAAACCGGCTGATGGTATGGTTGGTCGCGTGTGTGTGTGTGTGTGTGTGTGTGTGTGTGTGTGTGTGTGTGCGCGCGTGTGTTTGTGTGTTTTCTTGCAGGTGTGGGTATGATTTTATGTGCGGTATTGAGACGCAAGGAATACCCCGTGTGGTTTACGATTCTGCGGAAAGCCGAGCTTATTAGTGGGTCACAAAATTACTGCAGGACGCAAGTGTGCCGGAAGATGTTGCCTGATGATTGAGAGAGCATGAAACTCGAAGTAGCAGCAACAGGCCTTGATTTTCCTTGTTGTTCGGAACGTAAGTGTACACATTCCACCCGATAAACATTCCAATTGCGCACTAATGGTGCTATACACCCCTCCCCCCCCCCCCCCACACACACACACAATCATAATGGGAAATCCTCAAATATATATGTTGGACTCAGTAGAGCGTCCAGCCCCTATATGATGTCCAACCCCTATATAGAGTCCATTGGTCCAAAATCCACTGTACAGAGTCCAAACTTGGAATCAACTGTGAGCTCAAAGTTTCGATGGACATCACTCCCTGTATAGAGTCCAGCCAATTGGCTTCACCCCTATATAGAGTCCATTGGTCCAAAATCAACTGTACGGAGTCCAAACTTTGAAATCAACTATAAAGAGTCTTTATGTGGACAACACGTATAAAGTCCAGCCAATTAGGCATCCCCTATCGAGTTAGAAAATAGACATAGGATCTGCTGTAAGCAGTGAATATTAACCAGAAAACGGCCTCTCCCTTTAATCCTTTACATCATTCACTTCTCAAGATGAAAAAAATATGTATTGAGGCGCCACTGCAGCCACTTCATTACATGAAAAACCCTACAAACACCATCCTCAAATCAAGTGGTCTCTTCGCAGACGCTGCAAATTACAATATCTCAATCATGTAGTGTTGCCAAATTATTGTGCACGCACACACACACATGCACACACCCACACAACGCCAAGAAAATACCTAGAAAAAAACCAAGAATCAAAAGAGAATAATGGAGAGCCCAGGATTAATTATTTGTTTTCAAATTATTGTGCGCGCGCGCACGCACACACACACACACACACAAACTTATACAACGCCAAGAAAACACCAAGAAAAGAGTAGAGACACAATACACACGCAACTCCAACAGCCATGCAAACGTCCACCCATTTACATGTAAAGTCAAGAGGGATAACAAATAATTATACGAAACAAATGCGTACGGGGACGGGTACACGCACGTTTACATACACGTAGTAGTGTAAGAGAGTAACATAGTGCAGTGGTCAGCATAATACTAGCACATGCTGAGAGTGCAATAGCAAGCTTCACCATTGCTCATGGCCATGCAAATGTTCAGCAGCACTCAGTTCCGCAAGCTTCTGAAGATCAGCACACCTGCAACAAATAGATAGCACAAGGATACGCTTATTACCGTAATGATGCATGGGAGCACACAACTACCAAGTTCTCAACGAATGTGATGCTCAATGAAAATCAATCCACTCAAAGACCTGTGAACAGGTGATGGTGGGGACAATAATCTATTAGTAATACGAGGAATAAGATCGTTTGTGCACACTCAAGACGCACAGACACACCAAAATGCATGTAGTGTACACAGTGTTTCACTTCACTGCAACTAAATTGAAATGAGATGATTTGAACAATCTGTACAGCGTTGCGGTCAGTCAGTCTTCCCCAAGATGGAAATGCAATGATTTGTTGTCACGAGGCAGTTTCACTGACACAATGTCATGTTCGTGACATCAAAACGGTTACTTCAGGGAATACGAGTATTAGCTTGAGAAGCTTTCTTGTCATTGGCATACAAGCAATCCTCCTAGTCCTACTACTACTAGTACACTGGCACTGCGTTTGTGGATCCCATTGTATTTGACATCATACTACAGGAAGAGTGTCGTGGAGTTCACATAATTATCACAGGGATAAAAATACATTTCTCATGAAATAAAATAATAATTGATGATAGCTAGACGGTCATTATACGATTGATGCAAAGTCCTTGCAGTCCTTGAGGACTATTACGAAGTGGTTGATTACTTTTAGGGCATTCATTCAAGCAACATCAAACAAACGCGATACGCTCCTTGAAAATGGAAAAAAAATTCAAGCATAACGACAGAACAGCAGACCAATCGAAACGAGTAAAAGCTTCCTTACCTCAGTCATCGTCCTGCCATGTAGTTGGACAGCCTTTTGAAACGGTGGTACAGGCAGCTCTTGTCCAGTCAAACAGGGTATCCTTGTGGCGTCGAACGAAAGAGAGTGTAAGTGTATCTGACTCGTCAGATTGCAACTGTGCTGAACTTTTCTCTTTCTCCGCTTTCTGCTTTCATCCCTCGCTCTGATGAAACCGTTCAAACGTCTTACTGGCAGCAATGGCCAGCCAAACAGGGGATCCTTGTGGCGTCGAACGAAAGAGAGCGTCAGTGTACCTGACTCGTCAGATTTGAACTGTGCTGAACTTTTCTCGTTCTGCAATTTCTGCTTTCATCCCGCGCACTGATGAAACGTCTTCAGAGAACCACAAGACGCTTTCCAGATTTGATTTTGAACGTCTCCTTATCCTCCTTGGTTAGCTCGAGACAGATTACTGTCAGCAACTGCACAGCAGAATTGGCAGCCATGGCTGAAGTGAAGAAAGGAATGCGCTGCCACGAGGCAAGCAAAACTGAAAAATGTGTTCTCTTTCGGGCACAACACACAGGACGGCGTGACAGGATAAACTGGACTCCTGGACCGTGAATAGGGGACTTGTAGAAAAAGTGTACTCCTTATAGGGGATTGCGCGGCAGGATGAAGCTGATCAAAACTGAGTGGACTCCTGGATTTTGGACCAATGGACTCTATATAGGGTGCTGGACATCATATAGTGCATGGACTCTATACTGAGTCCTACATATATAATAATAATAATAATAATAATAATAATAATAATAATGGCACTAAATAAGATAAATTGTGCACTCATAACAACAGCAAAAATGAAGAAAGTCAAGTTCCATAACGTTTTCTTGTGACTGTCATCAGTGGAACGCCGTCACATAAAAATGTAATAACTAAAACACACACTTATATACATGTAGCTAATATGGTTTCAGGTAGAAATACAGCAGCTAACAAGTACAAAAAGCGAAGTTTGCACCTTTGTAATGTGTGAATATAGTGTATGTGAGAAAGGTAGTGGCAGATGAATGTGATACTGTGTGAATGAATGTAATGGTGCGTGTGGATTATTTGAAGAGTGTGAGTGATACAACGTTTTCTTTCTGTTTACATAGCACAGGGTCACGAGTACGAATATACACAGCTTCCAACACCTGCAGTTGCTTGAAGAAACGTGCGCAACGAATAACACTAAACCAGGAATCGTCAAACACCTTACGACATTCTGGACTGGACACCAAATGCCTGTACACTGCAGACTTCCTCTTGTCAACATCAAACTCCTCCTCATCACTACTCTCATCCTCCACCTCCATTCCAATGCCGCCGTCCATCCCATCGCACTCGTATTCGTCGTCATCAGTCTCCATCTCCTCGCGACACCGCTTCCCTCTCCTTGATTCGTTCTGTGCCGTGCCTGTGCTTCCTCCTGCGTCTCCTTGCCTTGTGTTCTCCACTCGTCTCAGACGTGCCTCTGCTAGTCTCTTGCTTCTCCTCGGTTCTGTTCTGTTTTCAAGTTGTTCCCCTTCCGCCCTTACCGTTGCAGCAACATGGTTTGTTGAGGAGCGACCGTCCGGCGGCCTCCCTTGCCGTGGTCCGGTTTCCGAGGGGGGAACCAGATTAGTCTGCTCGTTCCCCATGGAAGTAGTCGGTGTTTCTGTTTCCGAATCGTGAGCCGTGCTAGGTGTAGAAATAGGCAGCGGATGTTTTCGTGGTCTTCCACGCTTCGGCCTGCTTAACCTGGCAGCCTGGGACAACAATGACAATGGGACGTGCTGCTTGATGCGTTCGGACAAGTGTTGAAGCGTCCTGCCAACATACCGACTACCACATTGTCGGCATTCAAATTGATAAATGAGATGGCTCAAATGGTGGGTTGGCAGGACGTCCTTCAACACTGTGAACGAACGCACCGTTGTAAAGACAGTAACTACATTCACTGCATAGTATGTCTTTTGCACGATCGATTTCACTGCATGACTGACTTTTGTTGATTCAGAGCCTTTCCAAGGCAGGCATCAGAACACCCGACACGGTGTTGGCCCGATTTTGTGCTCCTTCCGCGGCTCTTTGCTCGTGAGCAGTTTTGCTAAGAGTGATGATGGATATCCATTCTTCAGGAAAACTGAGCGCAGGAAATCGAGTTCAGGTTGTAATTTACTGTCAGAGCAAATGCGTCTTGCCCTATCCACCAAGTTCCGGACTAAATTGATCTTGTACTGGGCCGAGCAATATGAATCATACATTATATATTGTCCTGTAAACGTAGGCTTACGATAAACCGATGTGACAACACCATCACACGTCCTTTCGACTAAGACATCCAAAAACGACAATTTTCTGGATTCTTCGTGTTCACATGTGAAGCGCAGCGCAGGATGGACATCATTCAATTCAGTTAGAAAGGCTTCACTGTCACGTCTTGATTCGAAATAGGTAAATGAGTCGTCCACAAATCGAACGTACAACTGAGGCCACTTTACTTTATCCATTCTCGACTCGCAATATCCAACGAAGTCGCCGCTGGGTCCGGCACTAGCCAACGTCTTCGTGCAGCATCAAGCAGCACGTCCCATTGTCATTGTTGTCCCAGGCTGCCAGGTTAAGCAGGCCGAAGCGTGGAAGACCACGA